AGAGAGAGAGAGAGAGAGAGAGAGAGAGAGAGAGAGAGAGAGAGAGAGAGAGAGAGAGAGAGAGAGAGAGAGAGAGAGAGAGGTCCGCCCAGACTGACACACTCTTCTCACCATTTAGTAACAATTTTGGACCTTACCGATTTCCGAACTGGTTTTCATTCCTGACCCATCAAAACACCGGCCAGGAATGAAAAGCCCTCCAACCATGAGAAAGAATACCTGGCACAGTTGATGGCATACGAGAGGGAAAGATCTACAGTCCCCTACTATTTGCACGGCGACAAAATTACTAGGACTGTCTTATCCGTTTGCTATCTGCAGCCGAAAAGAGTGACACACACACGAATGGTCCTCATTCCTATACTTTTCTGACCACTAGTGGGACGTCGCCCCTGGCCTCATTTCTGTTTTGTAATATGAAGGTTCTTCTGCTTGTTAAAAAAGAAAAGAGATAATTTGCAAAATACCCTCATAAGTTGAGATGTATGCCAAAATGCCCCTGAAAGATGTGGGAATGCCCTTTTGAGTAGAAATCTTTGTGATGTGCCCCTGTCAGGCTGGTGTGCAACTTTGCAATCTGGACCTCCCCGTTTGGGCCTTGGCATTTCGCAAAAGTGCCTAAGAGAAGTTGGCAAGTATTGGGGCATTTTTCAAAGTTGGATGGTACCCGGTAGGGGCATATTGCAAAGATGTGGTCCAACCGATGCCAGGGGTATTTCACAAAAGATTTTTTTTGTCAGAGGATCATTCCACTCTACCCACATCTTTTAGGGGCATTTTGGCATATATCTCAACTTATATGGGTAGTTTGCAAATTATCCCGTAGTCCCCGGAAAAAAAAAAAAGACTGCAATTTGCCAATTTCATTTTTTCTCTTTCCCCCCGAAAAAGTCAAATCCCATTACTTTGCCAAATTTGAGAGCTGGGATCTCAACATTGCATCCCGCAGCCAACTCCAGCTTACCTGAATTCTCAATTTCTGACCATAGATTACGAGGATTAATGGCCAGAAACGAACATTCAGACAATGCGGGCCTTGGCCCCCAGAGAAATTACTGGAAGCATCATCCAGCTTCTCTTACAGGCAGTATGCCCGCCGGGTTGTACTCAAAGAGCCTGCAGCTGACAGTCTGCCTCCTAATAGACCTACTGTTCTAGTCTAAACTAACAGCTTACAGGACTACTGACTCCACTGCCTACCTGCCTACCCAGGCAAAATTATGGGCATACCTGGGACTGAGGTGGACCAACCAAATTATTCATAGCAACAGATGGGAGACCACCAAATTATCATCTACTTATCCCACTCACCTCGTTTTTTGAAAAAAAAAAGAGAATTCCAAGAGATTTAGAAAAATTGGAGGAACGAAAATCAGAGCTGAACCCACCACCAATCCAAATCAGACCCTCACTACAGGCGAGAAACAGCCACTCAAGCTTTCAGTCCTCGTACCAGAAGTCGCTAGTTCTCACACCCCCCTTGCTAGGGTTACAAGGCAACACAAACTGCCCCAGCACCGAACTAACTGTCTTCTGACGGACAGGAAGTATCTTCCTCCCTCAACAACTTCCTTAGCTGCCAAACCCCCTACCAGGTTACAGGGTCACTGCCCCAGCATCAGCTACGTTGAAAGAGGTGGTTATGCCTTCCACCCTCGGCATAGCTTCAATGGACTCAAGCTCCTCCCCATGGTCACAGAGCCACTGCTACAGCACCGGCCACTGTCGCCCCACCCCGTCCTTCTAGTAGACTTACCACCCTGAGCCACCCTTCCCCTACTGAGCGAGCCCACCCAAAACTTCTTCCAAACCATGCTTCCGATTTTCGCCCTCCATTTAAAAAACCAAAAGGATTCAGGTGTCGTATTAGTGAAGGGGCTAGCTAGTAGGATGGAAATAGGGTATAGCAGCAGTGGAGATGGTGGCTCTGCTGCAGTAGGTCTTGCCGGAGGGAGGAAAAAGGATTGATGGAGGTATCTCAGTTTGTTTTCTGAATTGTGCATATATTTTTGTTTCTCAGTAAAATAGAGAATGCTTTAGGATTCTGGGGACTTCTAGCAACTCGCTTTAGGCTGTTTAATACTGGTGCATTCATGGATCTGAGGTTGTTCGATGCCAGAACGACGCTGGCCGGTGCTGGGGTGTTGCCCTGTAACCTGCTGCTTGCAGGAGCGTGAGGCCTGGAAGAGAGATCTGGGGATGTAGCGGTACCCCTACGGCCCGGCAGTGAGGCCGGACCAGTTTCAGGCCGTCGGCCTAACCCTGGTCTGGTACCAGGTTGTTCCGTACCTGGACCTAGGCCGGTATATCACTTCGGCCTAGGCCCAGGGCAGGAGGTTGGTTCATTCAGTTGTTCATCCATTCTTCCATTGAGACGGACCGGACCTTCACTCTGCTGGTGCTTTGTGTGTGTCCATCTCCTCTCTCTCTCTCTCTCTCTCCCCATCCCCTCACGTACCCTCTACACGTGTGTCACATTGGTATCGGAGCGGAGCTTCGAACCTCTGCTCCCTCCCTCCCTCCCTCTCTTGCTATCCCGCCCCCAAGGATAGTTGTCTCCAAGTTTGTTTCACAGCTGCACCTGGTCCGTCAACRCSACCAGGCACGTTCKTCACCCAAGTTGGCACCTTCCTCYTCGGCGACCTCCACGGCRRCGCTGCTCCAGCTGCTGCTGCCTCCTACAGACYGCSAYGCCCATCTGYTGCTGCACGTGCAYCACRTTGGAGGAAGGAGAAGTCGTAACAAGGCTTCCATAGGTGAACCTGCAGAAGGATCATTGACACGTGGACGACCGACTTCCGCCACGTCAGCGCCTCCTTCCCCTTTGGCTCCCCTCTTTCCCAACTCCAATCCCAACCCCTCTTTCCTCCCCCTTCATTCCGCTGCCATC